TGGTTTTGGGGCGAGGTCACCCTTAGGGAGACAGAACTGCCACATTAGCTTGTAGGTGTTGACTTTACACCTTTCTCTCACCCATTATTTGCTTCCTTTCTCGTTCTCTTCTTCACCTTCCATCTACTTCACCACAGTCGCCCCCTCCATCCCAAAATCACTGCGCGTTGGGACTGAAGCAAAGGAGTGCAGGCGACACGGCTGGGAGGAATGTAGATATTTTTCTGGCGACCAAAGAATATTGTAGGGGGTGCAGTAAAATAAAATAAGGGAAGAAGAACAAGAAGGGAGAAAGAAGAGGAAGAAGAAAGATGATGGAAGGGGATATTGTAGATAAAAGAAAAAATAAAGAAGAAAAAGAAAAGAGAAAAGAGAGGATGAAGGTGTTGTGTGAATGACTAAGGAAACGGAACGATGGAGACGACAACAGCTGTAGATTGAATTAGGTTTTGTTTTTTAAATAATCTATGGGTGTGTTTATTCGAAGGTTTTGATTTTGGATTTGAATTTTTTAGGATTTTAAAGTAAGAATTTTTAAGTTGTGGTTGTTTGAGGATTTGAATTTTGTAATAATTATGTTGTAAGAAGTTATTATTTTATTAAAAGAATATATTAATGTGATAGTTTGAATTAAATAATATTTAAATATTATTAAAAAATATGAGTAATAATTAAAAGTAATATTTGATTTGATATAATATGAATTAAAATAAATATTATTATGTGGAAAAAGACCATTTCTTTATCACATTGGCGGGGATTTCTCATGTTGAATATTTTTATTTAAATTTTTTAGCCTCCCGCTTTGTAAAATTTCTATTTTTGATTTTTTTTTATATTTTGTTTTTCTTTAATATATACATTTTATTTTCCAAATGAAATGCTTCTTTATTTGAAGAACATCCAACTGTGTAATCATTATTCATGACTTTTGATACTGACAACTTTGCAGCTAGGGATTAGGGGTGGGGTACGAGACTAGGGTAGGGTTTGGGTAGAATTTCAATTCAATTTTCGGAACAGTAAATGTACAGTGTAAATAACTAAAACTCCACAAATCGAACACAGCCTATATATATTATGTATTTGAGATCCGTCCTAAGTTTTTTTTTTTATTATTTTGTTGAAATTTATATTTTTATTTCTTTTTGCATATTTCTCAATATATTTTATTTTTATATTTATTTTTATTTAAGAAAAAGATCAAAATAGAGAATGATTGAAAATTCACAGTTTTGATTTTTTTTTTCTAAGTTAAAAAAAAAATCATTAATTTTATAGATTATATTTTATAATTATTTCATTTGATCTGTATTAATTATAGTGTCAATCATCAAATAAGGTGAGTATTTTTTTATAAATAAATAATTATAATTTTTTTTTAATAATTTATCTTGCACATAATTGTGTCTGTATATAAATATATATATATGATATGAAGTATAAGGTTGTTAGTATCTTTATATCTTTTTTAGATAGTTTGGAGAAAATTTAGATATATTTATATATATATTTTTTTAGATAATTTTAGTATTTTTTAGGAAAATAATGCATATGTATTAATTAAAAATTTTGAATTACTTTTTTTTTTCTAATAAGTAAATATATATATATATATTTCTTATCTATTTATATTTATATAAATGGAAAATAATGCCAAAAAATTATTTGACCGAGCGTTCACATTCATCATTCATGTGCCTCCAACGTTTGTAAGATCAGATGCTCCATCTCCGATGTTTCAAGTTATGACCGTAGATTGGTGTGAAAAATATTCACATATTTTGAAAACACTTTCACAATTATAACTATTTTTTTCTTTTTTTTTTGGACTTATATATTTTTTTTTCCATAGTTTATAAAATAACTTTTACTTAAATGTTACGATTTATATTATATACGATTCCATCTACAATATTTTATTTACTTTTATTTATATAGTATAAAAATAATTTTATTATATATTTATTTTATAAATTATAAATAAATCATATATGCAAAATTTATCAAATACTCCCTCCGTCCCATATGAATTGAACCTTTTGATTAAGGACACCGTATTTAAAGTAAAAATGTTTAATTACTTAATAATAATTAGTTATGATATTATTTATATTATTTTTTTGTATAATTAATAATATTTATATTTTAAAAATAAAGTTAATATATATGATTAAAAAAATTAAAATATATGTTTAAATATTTAAAAATTATATAGCAATTAAAAAATATATGCAATATGGATATTATTTTGTAGAGAATAAAATTTTATTTAATATAAGTAAATAAAAAAAAAAAATTTTATTTATAATTAACATAAATCAATTTGATAAAAGATGTGTAGCTTTAAATATAGATAAAAATATTTATTTTTTTTTAGGAGAGAGAGGTAGAAATAAAGGGGTTTTAAGTGGATCTACGTCATTTATGATGTTGATGTTGTATGTTATGTCGTTAATTAAGTTGATTTATATTTGTTAAATATGTTTTGATATAATAGTTTTTACCAAAAATAGAAAGGTGTCAATTGTTACGGGACAAACAAAAATGAAAATAGTGTCAATTGTGGTGGGACGGAGGGAGTATATAATTACATTACAATATTATTTTAAACATATTTTAATTATATATTTGTCAAGTGTATTTAAGATTGATAAATTTACTAAAAATAGAAAATGTCACAAAAAAAGAACATGAATCATATATGGGGGACGAATGATTGATTTGTATTTAATATGTAAATTTATTGTTAACTTTTATCTATCACGTATATCATATTCAATTAATATATATTTGAATAGTTTTTCAAAAAATTTAGTTAATTTTCAAAATTTTAAATGATTTGATTTTTTTTTTTTAATATTGTAGATGTAATAAATGACCTAATACTTGTAGTTTACAATTAATCGAACACATACGAAACAAGAAACATCGAATCTTTTATATACTTTCAAAATCGAAGGAGTTCGGACTCAATTTACCCAAAGTTCCAACCGAATAGCAACATATACACACAACCTCAACCCAAACCCTATCGACATCCACGGAAACGCACAATCAGCGCGAATCTAACCCCAATCGAAAGAAAACTCAAGATCCTAAGCCTAAATCATCGCGGACAACCAAATAACACCGCGAACAACTCATAAAGACAGAATCGAGAAATCAAACCGAAGAACAGCCTTAAAACAGGCTGAATCACAACCACGGGGGACGAATCTCAAGCTTCGATGGCCAATCTCGCCGGAAAGACCAAGCACAGATCGATCGCGATGCATCGGGAAATTAGGGCTTCAGAGAGTATCGGGAGGTGAAGGATGAGAGAATGAATCACGCTATCAACCGAACCGGGGAAACAATCATTTATATGAAGACTCCAAACCGGTTCGGGGCGGTCCAGGGCGGTTCAGGCCAAACGAACCCATCATCCAATTCATCACTCAATCGGGTCGAACCGCGGGCACAGGATCCGGGTTTCGATAGGCTGGGTCGGGTCGAAGTGTAATATGCACAAAACATCACAAATTTCCACCTTTTTGGGCATTGGAGAAAGTGCTTTAAGGGTGTCATCCCTGTCCGAGCTCCAACGATTTCAATCTTTTAACCTGCGGACTTATTATTACGGTTAATGTTCTCAAGATTTAACAAAACAGCCATAAAAAACAAATCAGCTGCAAAACTAAACAAAAACAGTCACACAAACAGCTACATGATTAAATATATCATGCTGAAAACAATATATTTAAAATCAAAAAATACAAGCCTTCAAGTTTCAAAGATTCTCCTAATAAAAAATATCTATATAAACTGTTTTCTGACACAAATTGAATTTTGTTATTGATAAAACTTTAGTTCCCATGTCCGCAGGATTATATTTAGAAGGTATTTTTTCTAGTTTTAAAAAACCCTTAGACACTATATTACGAATGAAATGAAACCTAACATCTATATGTTTCGTTCGATCATGAAAGACTGGGTTTTTACAAAGCTGAATTCCGGATTGACTATCTGAAAAAACTGTTACTTCATTTTTCAAGTAGCCTATTTCATTTAATAAACCTTTTAACCACATACCTTCCTTTAATGCTTCAGTTATGGCCACATATTCCGATTCTGTCGTAGAAAGAGCAACTATATGTTGTAGTTGGGATTTCCAACTAACACAAGAACCATACAAAGTAAAGATATACGACGTAGTTGACATCCTAGAATCTCTATCATTCGCATAATTGAAATCCACATAGCCATTTAGTTTTAACTCACTAATGTGTTTACCAAATACTAAACCAACATCAATAGTATCAACTAAGTATTTAAACACACACTTTAAAAGCATTCCAATGTTCCACAACCAGATTAGCCATGTATCTACTCAAACAACTAATAGAATACGCTAAATCAGGCTTAATGCACACCATCAAGTACATAATAGAAATTAGAAGGAACATTCAGCATGTATTTCACATCATTTTTAATTTTGGGCATTGATCTTTAGATAAAATAAAATTAGAAGCGAGCTGGACAACGGAGGGTTTAGCATCAGTCATGCCAAATTTATTCAAAAATTTTTTAATGTATGAAGACTGATTTAAAAACAGCATGTTATATTGTCTATTCCTAAGTATATTCATACCAAGAATTACTTTTGCATCTTCTAGGTATTTCATATCAAATTGCTTACTTAACCTCCGGTGAAAGATCGATGGAAGGAGGAACTCGATCGGAGGTTTCGAAGCTGTCGGAAGGATATCGGAGAAGACGACTGGAGTTCTCCGTTGTTCGACGGAGGCGTGCTGCCAGGCGCCGGAGCAGACTGCCGGATCGGACGCTGAAGTGAAAGCAAGTCGCTGAAGTCGGTCGCCGTTGTCACCGTGCGTCGCCGGTGAAGAAGCCTTGCCGGAGATGCTGGCTGGACAACTAAGGAGGATGGCCGGAGGAATCGCCGGAGCTGTCCGTTGCTTCCGGAGAAGGTGATCTGTAGGAGTCGCTGGTCGGAACTGATGCCGATCGTCGCCTTCTCTGTCTGTTCGTCGGAGGACTACAACGTGCTGGCCACCGGGGGAGGCTTGCATGACGGATCCATCAGGACATGGAACACGCAGAATGGAGCTTGCATCAACAACATCGATACCAGGGCGCAGGTTTGCGGGCTGCTCTGGAACATACATCATAAAGAGATACTAAGTGGCCATGGCTACGGCGCGGAGCATAAGAATCAATTGTGCCTGTGGAAGTACCCTTCTATGTCCGCAATAGGCGAATCGGTCACTCATATTTCAAGAATCCTCCATCTAACACAGAGCCCTGATGGCCTAACTGCAGTCTCGGCCGGAGAAGATGAGACAATACGTTTCTGGGAAGTGTTTGGTCCAGCATCCCAAGCTGATTCCAAGACTTCATATTTGGAAGGACTCTTGTCTCTCAAAACAACACCACTTAGATGAAATGATAAGAACAGAATCTTGGCCTATATATCAGGGAAGACTTAGCCCAAACACAAGAACAAGAAATGAGGATGAAAGTTGAAGTTGTTCATACTATTCATTGAGGAAACAAACCTTCATGAACTGATAAAGGTCCCGGATTTAGCTCTGCATTTGTAGCGGGTTGAATATTGGCGAAGTCGATAAGAGCTTTAATCGATGTAGAGTTGCTGAGGGGAGGAGAAGCAACAATGGGAACAAGCTAGAAAAATGGTGCGAAGTGGCTTGAGGTAACCACGCCTCAAGGTGGAGGTCAGCACGTCACTCTAAACCTCGACGCCCACCGGAATCGGCCATCAAAAAGGTCCCGAAACTCGCCGGAAACTCACCGGAATCCTTCTCTCAGTTCATTTCCTTCTCCTATCTCGGTCTCTCCCTCCTATCTCTAATCCTCTCAATCTCACTTTTCACACTACACGGTTACACTCAAAACCCCCAAACTAATTTCTATTTAAACCCTCGTAATAAACTAACCAATTAACAAACTCAACAAACTAATTGTGCTAAATGGTTTTGGCTTTGAATTGGGTTAGGATTAAAGAGTTGGGCCGATCCAGTGGGTCGGGCTACGGAGTGGGCCAACTAATTATTTATCGAGGGACTTGTCGGGTTAGGCCTCGAATGGCCAAAATTCTCAACAATCTCCACCTATTTTGGTCGTGATTTAACCAAATCCCAAATACGTATTTACTAGATATAGACTTACCTAGCACCAATGGATTTCATCATAGCCTTTTGTCCCTCGCTGCATCGACGAACAAACGTTAATGCAGACAAAAGATATCACACATAGAACACATAGATCCTAACATGTATCTAGATAGATCACATAACGACCTAGCACATAGAAAACAAATATTACACAATCGAGCAACATACATGCATATACAGAAAGGAAAGCAAACACATGCCGAATACAAAAAATATAGAAACACATAATAGCAGCTCCACCTTATTTGACATCTACTAGAGAGAACACACTAAGCTCTAGACACAAAGAAAACCTTAGGCACTACGGCTCTAACACACACCTCTACGGGCTAAGCACAACCTAAGAACCTGGATCGATCGACCACTATCACTCAGCTTTTCGGAGACACAACAACTCAGACATCCTACCTAGAAGAACACTCAGCAACCTAGGAGGAAACCTAGAAGAACACCAAGCAACTAGGACGAAACCTAGAGGAACACGCAACACCTAAGAACAAAGCTAACCCTAGAAGAATACTTAGCGACTAGAGGGAAAGCAAAACACTAAGCACCTAGTTCGATCGAACACTACCGTTTAGAAAACCCTGGGAGCACAATCACAAAGCAATCAATCAAAACATTATATAACAAACAACTAATCACATAGCAAACAAATCAAGAATCATGCATTAATACTAAGAAATCACATAATGCCTCAAACCTAACTATTCTTGATTATCCTCCAATTATTCATTCTTTTTAGGCATTTTCCGATTAACACCTAACATGAAATATTTTATCTCAAAAAGAAAAACTAAAGCATGCATATCTAACACACAAAGAAGATTAAACATGCATATACTACAATAATTTGGCTAGCACAAAAAATTCACAAGGCTATCAACATAACCCAAGAAACACAATAAGAATATAATCAAAGAACAAAAAATTCCCAACATATATCACCAAAGAAAAATACAAGGAAATAACAATTCCAAGATTATATACCAATTTAATCACCAAGAAACATATAGTCAATCAAACACCAAAAAATGCATAGCCAACCAACACAAAGAAATTCAACATATTATCTAACAACAATTTCACCAAGATTAATATATACCGAAATTAGAGAGTTGAGAGTTTAGCCTTTTACCACGATTCGAGTCCTACCAAACTTGAACCAAGTAATTCTTTCAATTTCGGAATCGGTTGCCGGGCTCTGATACCACTGTTGTGAATTTATTCCCGGATCCTTTGGATTTATCAAACAAATCTCGTATACAAAAATATGAAACAATTAGTAATAGCGGAAGCAAATTCGAATCGAATAAACCCAAATTAATATAACTGAAAAGAAATTGAAATTAAGGCATAAATTGGAAATCAAAATAGAAAACAAACAAACAACGCCTTTTGGTGAATTTATAATCAAAATAGGACCCTTCCCTGTTCTTAATGTATGAAGACTGATTTAAAAACAACATGTTACCTTGTCTATTCCTAAGTATATTCATACCAAGAATTCCTTTTGCATCTCCTAGGTATTTCATATCAAATTTCTTGCTTAAACAATCCTTCACATGATTAATGGTTTCCAAACTAGGACTCATAATCAACATATCATCAACATATAATAGCAAGAATATGGGATGCTCACATGCTATCTTAAAATACAAACAATGATCAAAATTGCTTCTATTAAATTCCAAAGATTTCATGCTTTCATCAAATTTTATATTCCATTGCCTAGGGGACTGTTTTAGTCCATAAAGGGATTTCTTTAAAAGGCACACATGATTAGGATTAATTTTATCAAAGAAGCCTTCCGGCTGTTTCATGTAAATTCTTTCATACAAATCACCATGTAAAAATGCAGTTTTTACATCTAATTGTTTCAATTCCCAATTGAAATAGGCAACTAAAGCAAGCATGAGCCTTATAGTAGAATATTTAACAACATGAGCAAAAATTTCATTGTAATCTATTCCCTCCTTTTGTGTAAACCCCTTAGCAACTAATCTTGCTTTAAATCTAACTCCATTTTCATCTTGTTTTACTTTGTAAAGCCATTTACAATCAACAACAGAGCTGTTAAGTAACTCTTGCACCAAAATCCAGTTTTTATTATCCTTTAGTGACTTCATTTCTTCATTCATTGCATTAATCCACTCATTTATTTGTTTTGATTTCATAGCGGCACTATATGACCTTGGTTCATTACCATCTAATGATTCAAACACATTATAAGCTAATGAGATAACATCAACATCAAAATCATCTAACCTAGGAGGTTGCCTTACATTTCGCTTAACTCTATCCCTAGCAAGTTGATAATTTTCCAGATTTTGATCAACATTTTCAACAATTCTAGATTCAATTCCCTCACTAACATCATCAGAACTGATTCCCGGATCAGCCTCTAAATTTCCAGAATTAAAATCTGGATCAGAACTGGCTGTTCTGGTATCAGTTCCGTTTGAGGCATTATTATCAAGTAATTCATAATCTAAATTGGCTAAATTATAATGATTTTGCTCCACCTCATTTTGAGTATCATTAGAACCATTAACAGCGGTGTTTTCTTCATTTAAAGTCTGATTTTGCTTCAAACAGGGCATTTCATTCACATTAAATGCTACATCTCGCCTAACAAAAGTTTTGAAACCTGGTTTAGTGTTTAACCATAGCCTATATCCCTTAACACCCTCGGGATACCCTAGGAACACACACTTCTCAGCCCTAGGTTCAAGTTTATCATTAAAAACACGTATGAAAGCAGAACAGCCAAATACTTTCAGGTTTGAAAAATCAATTTTCTTTCCACTCCACCTAAATTCGGGACATTCACCCTTTAAAGGCACTGAAGGTGATCTATTAATCAAATAGGCTGTTATAAGTACAGCCTCACCCCAAAAGCTCTTGGATAAACCCGAGGAAGCAAGCAAGCTTCGAACTCTTTCTAATAGAGTTTGGTTCATCCGCTCAGCCACCCCATTTTGTTGAGGTGTATAAGGGGCTATTTTATGTCGCTTTATTCCATTTTCAATGCAAAAGCTATCAAACCAAGTGTTGCAATATTCTAAGCCATTGTCAGTTCTCAAACACTTAATCTTTTTACCCGTTTGATTTTCAATAGAAATTTTCCAATTTTTTAAAAATTTCAAACACATCAGACTTCTGTTTCATTAAAAAACCCAAACTTTCCTTGAAAAATCATCAATTATAGTCAAAAAATATCTTCTACCACCATGTGTGGGTTCACTAGCCGGTCCCCACACATCTGAGTGAAGATATTCAAGGATATATTTTGAAAAAATCCTACTTTCAGTGGGTTTTTGAGGAAAAGTAACTCTGTGATGCTTTCCATATATGCAATTGTCACAAAATGGCACATTTGAGAAATTTCCAGCACCTAAACAACCAGTTTTATGCAAAATCTCCAATCATCTATTACTTGAATGACCTAATCTCCTATGCCACAACTCAGTGCTGTCATGGACAGCATTCACACAAGCATCAAAATCACAAATAGGCACAACAGTCACAATATAGAGATTATTTCTCAAATCAGCCTTGAAAACTACTAAAGAACCCTTAGTTATTTTCATAAAATCCATTCCCCATTTTCCTTCTAGTCCTAAAGAAGACAAACCAGCACAAGAAAGCAAATTATTCGACAGATTAGGGACATGTCTCACATTGCACAGCTTTAAAACATTTCTAGATTTAAATTTCAGCGTAACAGTCCCTGTTCCTTTAACACTGCAAACCCTATTATCAGCCATAGTCACATTACAGTTTAAAAGGGCTTTATAATCACTGAAAAATTCCTTAAAAAGGGTCATGTGATAGGTGCAAGCTGAATCTAATAACCATTCATTCTTATTAAAAGCAGTCACATTAGAACATTCAGTAGTAACAACAAACACTTCACCTAAGCCATCATCATGAGAAATCAAATTTACTTGTTCATTTGAAGAAGTATTAATAGGGGTTGTTCCATTTCTAAAGTTATTGTTGTTGTTATTCAAGTTTCTATTCTTCTTAGGACAATTCCTAATGAAATGTGAAGTGTCACCACAATAAAAACACCGTTTGATATACTTTGAAGGGGTTTTTGATCTATTCCTAGACTTACTTCTAGACTTCTTTTTATGTTGACTATTGCAGGAATTATTCCATTGCTTATAGTTATTTGAAAAAGAGCCATTTTTATTCAGTCTATAGGGAGATCTACTCCTAACATGCATCACCTCATCATGAGA